AGACACGTGTCGTGTAGTGATTCGATATATCAAATAAGTCGATAGCGTATAATAACGGACGATGCGCGGCCGCGAGTTTGGCGCGCAGCCAAAAGTCGGTGCGCAGTCGTGCCGTTACAGTGGGACAGTGGTGAGCGACCCGGACCTCTTCTGTTCGAAGTTCGTGGGAGAGCTGCTGCTGCCGGAGGACCTCTGGGACCCCCGTGACCGAGCTTCCGGAATGAACTCAGGGACGGAGTTCTCTCGGTCGAGAAACTGGCGGCAATTTACCAGAGGGCACTGTTTGGGAGTGGCTGGAGCACGGAGCAAGTGGTGGAAATCCTGCGGGGGTTGGAATTATGCGATTGGGTGGACGGCGAAAAGCGGGAGGTGCTGATACCGGCGCTGTTGGAGGGGAGCCGGGAGGCTCTGCACGGTTGGAGCAACTACCGGACGGAGCAGCCGGTGTTGGGACGGAGGCTGAGCTGCGGGCCAGACGCGGGGACAGTGTTGCCGGCAGGAGTCTTCACCCTGCTGCAGGTTCGATTGCGTAAAAGGTTTCGGGTTCGAGGGGATAGTGAGTTCGTGACCGACGGGGTCTCGGTCTCGTTCTTGGTGGACGGGGCCGCGCTTCTGGTGCATTTCGACCCCGCGCGCGCGCGCCAGCTGAGCATCGTGGCAAAAGTGCGCGACGTGCGGCGCCAACTGGTCGACGGCCTCGATCGGGTGGAGGAGATCTGCAGGGAGGTGTACCAGATCTGCGCGGAGAAGGGTGTCCTCAACGAGCACGTTGAGGAGAAGGCGCTTGGGGGGGGGAATATCTGAACGCGTTGGAAGAAATGGGGCTGGAGTGCGTGAAGGAGGAGGTCAAGTTGCGGCGCAGCAAGGGGCTGAGCGGGTGGGAGGCAGAGGCGGGCCGCTGCTTGCGGTACTCGGAGCTCTTGACGACGGCTGAGCTCGAGGGAGTGGTGGGCGAATTGACGGGGGCTCGGCAGGACGAGGTGCGGTTCGCCCAAGAGGTTTTGGGAGGGGGGATCGGCTAGGAAGGAGGCGAGGGAGCGGTGCAGCTGCCAGACGCGGACGCGCCGGAGTTTGAGGGCGACCGGGGGCTGCGGGAGCTCATTGTGCGCACCGGCGGCACAGTAGTTGAGGCGGGCAGGCAAGGGGAACGGAGAATACTGGCGGCCGGGCAGCGGCGACACGAGGAGCTGATGGCCGCAATCGAGGACCTGCGGAAGGGGCAAGGCGTGCTTCTGAAGCAGGTCGAGCAGCAGGGGCGCTTCCTGCGCACCCAAGCTAGCCTGCCTCGCTTCATGTACGTGGCAGACGAGCGCGGGTTGTTCACTCGGCTGTGGGACGTGCTGTCGAGGACGGCGACCCTGCACCTGCTCTGCGAGGGGGGCCGGATGCCGCACGTGGTGGCGGACCAGCCGGGGAAGACGTTCCAGGTATTTCCTGGATCTGTTTTGACTGTTGCGTTACAAGATTCTTTTAACGATGTGATCTGCAAATCTGCCGCGAAAGCTTCGAGGACCCAGCCCGGAATTGAAAAAAGCGGACCAGCCGTTCAATTTTGGCCCAAGTAACCGGATTCTTTTCAATGCTTATCCGTGTTCGTTTCTGGACTCCTCGTTATTACTGACGAACGTGTACTGATCCGGCTCGCTTCTTGAAGGGCTGCCCAACCGGTTCCTGATCTCCAGTCGACTTTGTTACATTTTGAAATGTCACTTCGAAATGCCCGTTGCTGTTTAGCAAGTGACTTGAGAAAAGCCTGACACCTCTAGCTTCTTTGAAATGCGTGTAGTGCACTGCCACGGGGATTCGTTCTGAGCCTTCAATACCGTTCAGGTATGCCACTATACATTTGCAGCAGCGCTAAGTGGTCGGTAAGGAACCGTCCGGGTTGCCTGCGTCTGCTCTTTCTAAGTCTTTGGACTCATTCTTTCGACTTTCTTCTTGCCAGGCGACTCGAGAGTGGGCCAAGACCGCCGGGCCCTACCTGCAGTACTCCCTGCGCGTGCTGATCGTCGTCGCCAAGATCGCCGCCAGCGCGGCCGCCCCCGGGGTGGACCGGCTGATCCCCGACGTCGCAACCGGGCTCTTCTCCTCAGCGGAGGGCGAAAAGCTGCGCCAGATCCTGGGAAAGGCGGTCGGTACAACGCTGGCCAAGGAGGTCGCCACTTTCGCTGATGACGTCGGCAAGTGGACGGACGCCGAACTAGGGCGGGGCGCCGGGGCGGACGGGCTGGGGGGCGCGGTGCAGGACTCGTTACTGTTTCTGCTCGAGAAAGTGGGGGCCGCCGCGGAGAGTGTGCTGAACGACAGCTTCAAGCTGTGGAAGGTGGAGGTGCGGCGGGCGTATGCGGGCAAGGAGCCGGGTCAGGTGATCTGGGTGTGCGAGAACTGTAAGAAGGACCTGGGGGCCAAGGTCCGGAAGGTTGGGGCCGCGTAGCGCACGCGCGGCGAGCTGTGAGGTAAGTACGAGCGCGCGCTGATGATTCAGTCATTGGGTTGAGAAATTTAGGTCTTGGGACTGCCTTTGTCCTGGTGACGTCGAATACAAGTTTGAATGTTTGTTTGGAGTACTCCCGAGAATCCCTTTCAAAACCGAGGGTCGGCGTCCTCTATTACTTGCTGCTCCCTTATTATTTCCGTGTATTCAAAGTTGGGCTTTGTTCGAGCAACTGACAGAGTCCTCTGAATCGAAACTGCTTGATATTCGAACTGACTCGCACGCTTCCGGTGCCTGAAGTGTCGCTTCGGATTTTCGGCTGGTGCCTTCACTCGCGAATTCTCCTAGACTTATCGTCCCTTGAATCCCTAGTCACGAGGTCGACTCCGCTGGTTATGCGACATGCAGAGTCGCCCGGAGGCAGATTAAACTCCTCGCCCTTCAAACCATGTCATCAAAATGGTCCGTAGACTCTGAGAATTCTGTACAGAGTACAGAAACTGAGAATCTGTACCTGGCTTACTCGAGTGGAAAATTTCATGGACTTCTGTACGATCTCTGACATCAATTCCAGATTCAGCGGCGGTTGACACGTTGGTGTCCCCCCAGGTATCGACCGGTCCGAAGGCGTTCGGAAAGGCAGAAGCTTGTGTTCAACCAGTTCAGAATATGTTGAAATCGTCATCTTTTCCAGCCTTCCATGTGACGGATTCAGGTCTTTTTAAGCGCCAGCGCGGAATTCGTGTACCTCCTCGTCTAAAAGGCCTGCGTTCCAGACCGGCCCCAGGGCTGCAGTCGTCCTGTGCGGAGGCGGTGTTTTTGAAAGCGGCGACTCGCGTCTTTTGTTCCCAGCAAACAACCTTTCGTTCAATTTCTCCTCTTCTTCGGGCGTGCACGCAAAAACTCAGACCTGATGATTCCAGACAAAGCGACTCCGGGCCTCCTAACATTGATGCGAATCGTCGAATTCATTAGGCTCTTCCTGGAGACGGGCCCCTGGTGATGCGCACGTTTGGGCGCCGCCTCTTTTACCACGCGGAAGGCAACCGGGGCGCGCCCGGACAAGCGGCGCTTGCGCAACCTACCCTGCCGACCCCTGCAGCAGTTTGCTTCCTGGCAGCTACGGCTGACGGGGGCCCTGGGGAACGCTCTTTGGAACGAGGCGTACGGCCCTCACGAGCGACGCTTTTGCGGGTAAGCCACGGAATCCCCCCAAAGCAGAGAGCCGCGCACGTGGCTCCTGAAGACTCTAGTGATGCCTGATTGCTCCGCTACTTTTGGGCTCGACGCTGCGTTAAGGGAACGACTCCCATCAGCCGTTAGTCTGGAAGGGACCGTCCGGTCGTAAGGGGCCAGGTGGGTGGGGGGGTGCGTGAGGTGCACTCGGGCGGGTTGGGCAACCCTGTTCTTTGAGAAGATGGCGACCCGCGACCCTCGGAGAACCGCTTTGATTTTGCTGCATAAGAAAGGCTTGCTGGAGCTGTCCGGAGCTGTTCTTTGCTGGGGGCTTGGCGATTCCGTGTTTGGGTCGGCTGGCTCTTTTTTCTTCTTGTTCGCTTCTCCACGCGACGCCGGTACCCCTTCAAGTCGGTCGGCTTCTGACGTTGATTTGCCGCCAAAGTTTTGAAAGGCTGCACACCAAAGTATGTGTGGAATATGTAAGAAAGTCCCCTTTCATAACCGCAATCTCTGTGCCATCATGATCTCAGCTATCTGGGTTTGCTCTGCAGAGCGGACCGTGGCCGGGCAAGCTTTGGAAAGAAACGGACCTGGATGGGTAGGACCGGTCCATGGGAGTGGGGAGACCAGCGGCCTCGGTGGCGGTTACGAGCTGGGAGGCTTGCCGGGGGCGCGACCGCGCACAAGCGAACGTGCTCGAGCGGAGGGGTTCCGGGTCTGGATGTGAGCATAACGTCGACTACTGGATGTGAGCATAACGTCTTCCGCTTTTGTTCAGTGTTCCACTCCTTCTCAAAACTGTGAGCTTCTTTTAGAGCCGCTTAGCAATCTGGACCACCGAGCTCAACCTTTTGCACGGACGCGCTGGAAGAAGAGTGCCGTTTCGTGGCCACTTCGAAGTGAACTCTTGTCAGGCCACGCTTCTTTTCAACTTTCTACCGGGGTGGTACTGGGTATGTGATCGGCCTAAAAAAGATGGGACTTGGATGAGAAGAACGCTTGACGGAGTCACTGGTTGTGCTTGTAAGTTTGTGTGCAAGCGGATCTGTACATGTGTCATAGGGGCCGAGGCGGACGTCCCGGCTGCTGAACGGCATGAGAGGCAGGTTTTAAAGGGCAGCCAGACTGTCAGCAAAGTTATCCAAGTTATTTAAGCTATTCAAGCTTCCTCTTGACGTGACGGATACAAAGCGCCTCTCTTTTCCTTAGGCGCCCGATGCTAATTCTGAGCCGTACTGAATAGGATAAACGGTACTCATTACAGCGAAATCTATAAGGCTTTTTCGCGGCACTATTTGGAGTATTGTTTGCAGGGCCCCGGTGAGCTTCTTGTTGTTTACATGTCTTACATGATTACGAGCAGGGTCGAAAGGCAGGTTATTCAGAAGCAGCAGCTTCTAAGTGGAAGCTCCATGACTTTAACCCTCAAGTGATATCGTCCGCTAGACTTGAGATTTGAAACTGTCTAACGAATTGACGCAACCCTTGTACGCACTCGCTCCTTCGTTTCCGAATACGGTTCCGGCCGGCCGACTTGACGCATCCGGCCCTGAACGCAGGACCAGGCAGGACCTTTGGCCAACGACATTCAAAGTGACATTTTGAACAATTTTAATGAAAGCGTGCTCTTTACATCCTTTGCAGTGTGGATCGAAGCTGCGTGGACTGATGTCAACAGCAAGAGACGGGCCGAGATGGATAAGACTGGCTGAGGAGATGGAAGAGACCAGCGCCCTCGGTGCCAGTGACGAGCTGGGCTGCCGCGGCCGCGACCGTGCCCGAGTAGACGCGCTCGAATGAACGCCTTTTTGTGTCGAAGAAGGTGGGTAGAAGACGCATTGCTCCGATGTCACTCACGACCATAGAAGTCCGGTGGGCTTCATCTTTGAGCCTTTTCGCAAGTTGGGCTAATAAGGTCAGACGTAATGATCTTCTGGGCCTCGCTGGAGGAGGTGTGTTTCTCAGTCACGCAGACATTTTGCGACGGGCCGTCCTTGTAAACGATCGAGCAGTAAATAGTACCCTAGTATATGTTCTGCCTCAGGCAACAAGTCCGTTACAGAAGAAGGGATGCATTCTTCGATGGGCAAACTAGATATACATGTGCGCAGATGAACAATCTGTACAGGAGCCGAAGCAGAAATATGAAATATCAGTCTGCCAATCATTTGAAGAAATGCGAAAATCCTGCATGCAGCCAATCGTCCTATCTGACTCTTATCCTTTGAATGCTTCGCCTTTCTTCAGGCGCTTTGCTCTTCGTACGCACATGATCAGAACATGTAGCCGAGCGTTGCTTTCGTCTAATGGATCTTTTTGCGATCACAAAGTATGGTGTGCACTTGCAAGCAACGAACTACCGTAGACGAAATAGAGCAGCTTCAAGAACCCAATTCTTATTTAGCAGACAGCTGTCGAGGTACATCTGTCGACGTATTCTGCTGACTCAAGATCCTAAACTGGTTGCAAACATTACGCTAACCCTTGTCTTCCTTAGTTGTCCAGGTGCAACTCCCGAGCTTTAGGATCAAGAAGGATGTTCGAGCAAGACACTCAGAATAGAAGGTCTTTCGCTTCGCTGTGATGTATAGCGTGTTGCCTTTTCCCTCTGCAGGGTGGATCGAAGCTGCGTGGACTGACAGCAAGAGACGGGCCGAGACGGATAAGACTGGCTGAGGGGAAGAAAGAGACCAGCGCTCTCGGTGCCGGTGACGAGCTGGGCTGCCGCGGCCGCGACAGCGCCCGAGTAGACGCGTTCGGGGCGAATGGCTCTTTGTCCTGACGGTGGTGAGTAAAGTGTTCTTCTCTATGGTCTTTCTCTTTACACGGAGTGGTGCGCGCTCGGTTCTGCAGCAATGCTGCGCCTGAACGTTGATTATCGGTTTTTCCAGGATAGCAGCTTCTATTTCGCAGCCACATCAGAGAGCAAACATCCTTGCTTATCTACTTTGTGCGCTGTGGAAGTCCGTGGGTGCTGCTTTTGATTCAAACGACGGCATGTAACGGACAAGGTGGTTCGGCGAAGGCAGTGGTCAAGC